CGTGGTGGGGTCCCGTGTGGTTGTAACGGTCTGCTGGTGGGGTGTTTTGCAGATCTGCCAGCCAACGGTTTCAGCAGTGGGAACCAGCCAGTGAAGAAGAGCTTCCTGGTGTACCGCAACGACTGCAATCTTCCCCGGAGCAGCTCTGACTCGGAGTCCAGCAGCAGCAGCAGCAGCAGTGCTGCCTCCGACCGTACCAGGTACCGGCCCTGGCCCAGCTCTGATGGCGCTGGTGCTGCCCAGGGTGGCAGTGGGCAGCTCGCAGCCTCGTGTTGCTGGACGAGGAGCCTGTTTGGTGGTACTCCTCTCATTCACTCTCCTGCAGCTCAGGTGCTGTTAGCTAAACCCTAGAAAGCTGCAGGGTTTCTGCCTTTTTTTAATGTAAAACCTAAAGGTGTGAGTGTGCAGCAAAGGGCTAGTAGGGACTGTAAACAGAGGAATTCCCTCTTGGCACAGCGGCTGGCCCGGATTCCAGCAGCGAGCTCCGGCAGGTTCCTGCCTGTGCCTCTAATTCCAAACAGTGCACATCTTCTGGGTCCTCCCGGGTGAAACCGGGTAAGGGTCCAGCCGGCACCCTGGCACAAGCACCATCCCACCTTTCTTCTTGGTACCCCTGCCAAGTCCTTCCTAGTGCCGATGCTGGTGGTTGGAGCCCATGAGCCTCAGTGTCCCACCAGGCTTGCCCTCTTCGAAAGCGGTTTCTGGAAGCTTAACATGGCTCCTGCTGACAGCTCTGCTCCCTCACTCCGCAGCACAACACCCTCCAAGCAGGGCAGGGGAAAACCCTCCTTCTCCCGAGTGAACTTCCCGGAGGACAGCAGCGAGGACACGTCAGGGACAGAGAACGAATCCTACTCCGTGGGCACGGGGCGAGGTGTGGGGCACGGCAGTAAGTACTGCGGCTGTGCAGCTGTGTGCCCGGCTGGCGCCGTCGCCTTGGGGGGACACAGCTGACTCCCCTCTCCCCTCTCCTCCGGCACAGTGGTGCGCAAGGGCATGGGACGTGGCGCGGGGTGGCTGTCCGAAGATGAGGATTCCTCCCTGGATGCCCTGGACCTGGTGTGGGCCAAGTGCCGGGGGTACCCCTCCTACCCGGCACTGGTGAGTACCGCCCGCTGTCGGCACCTCCCAAACCCCACATCCCCCTCGCGCTTGGCACTTGGGGTCCCCGTTCCCCTCTCAGCCCTCCCGTGCTCTTTTGGCAGATCATCGACCCCAAGATGCCGCGGGAAGGCATGTTCCACCACGGCGTCCCCATCCCCGTGCCCCCCTTGGAGGTGCTGAAGCTGGGGGAGCAGATGACTCAGGAAGCACGCGAGCACCTCTACCTTGTCCTCTTCTTTGACAACAAGCGCACTTGGTAAGGCCGGGGCACCGGGGGCT